GGGGCTGCAGCAGCCGCAGGGAAAGCGGGGCGGGCTCGTTTTTGAGGCGTTGTTTTCGGCGTGCAGGCTCGCTGCTGCTGCTGTTAATGATACTGCTGGGATTTCCTGCTGCTGTAAATGACCTGACTTGCTGCTGCTGCTGCTGCTGCTGCAGGAGAATGCTCGTTTAAAGGGGGAGCTGCAGCGAAAAGCTGCTGAGGCGGCGGAGCTTGAGAAGCGTCAAGGTACTGTGCTGAGCAGACACAGCACCTGCAGCAGCAGCAGCAGCAACTGGAGCAGCAGCAGCAGCAGCAGCAACAGGAGCAGCAGCAGGAGCAGGAACAGCAGCAGCTTCTGCTGCTGCGGTTTGTGAGAGTTAGTGATTTTGCCGCTGAAAGCGTCTTTGCCCACTTGCTGGCTGTGCCATCGTGGACACTGAGAAGTTTTCCATTTGCTGCTGCTGCTGCTGCTGCTTTTGCTGCTGCTGCTGCTGCTTCTGCTGCTGCAGGTCAGCTGCTGAACGAACTAGCGGACGTCTCTGTTTGCCTGGGCAGAGAGCGAAGCCTCCAAACGCAGCTGGTGGGGTCTTTGTGAATGCACTGCTGCTGCAGCTGCTGTTGGCTCTGCTGCTGCTGCTGCTGCTGCTGCTGTTCCTACTGCTGCTACTGCTGCTGCGTACTGCCGCTGCTTTGTTGCCGCAGCTCATGGTGCGGGTTGCTGCACAAGTGTTCCCGCTGGCAGATGTCCGCGCTGCTCCTGTACTGCTGCTGCTGCTTTCTTGCTGCTGCTGCGCTGCTGCTGGTGCTGCTTTCTTGCTGCTGCTGCGCTGCTGCTGCTGCAGCAACGGGCTCTGGAGCGCGTCTCCACTTTAGAACGTTTGCTGCGGGGAGGCTCGGGCGACGCAGCAGACCATGCGCAAAGAGTGCAGACACTGGAAGCAGAGGTAAGCAGCTCTTTTGCTGCTGCTGCTGCTGCTGCTGCTCTCGCCGCGCCTTCGGCTGCTGGATAGCTTGTTGTGACCACTGCTGGTGGGGCTGCAGCTGTCGCTGCTGCTGCTGCTGTCGTTGCTCTGTCTTGTGCCAACCCTCACCAAGACTGCACAGCAGCAGCCGGAAATAAGCGGAAGCAGCAGCAGCAGCAACAAAGCAGCAGCAGCAGCAACAAAGCAGCAGCAGCAGCAACAGCCGCTTGTGGTGCTGTGCGCAGGTTGACAAAACGAAGCAAAAGATGGAGCTGCTGCAGCAGCACTGCGTGCAACAGATTGCGTGAGTCTCTGCGCTTACTGTCCCGAGGACGGCGCTGCTGCTGCTGCTGCTGCAGCAGCAGCTTGTGCTGCGCCGTGGTTACTGCTGCTGCAGTGTGACTACTGATGCAGTTGCTGCTTGTTTCGTTGTGTCTGAGGGCGCAACTGGCCAAGAGCAGCGCTAGATGTAGTCTGTTGAGCAGCAGCAGCAGCAGCAGCAGCAAGAGGAACAGTTACAGCAGGAGCAGCAACAGCAAGATTGGCAGCAGCAGCTGTTCCTTTGCCTCTGCAGGGCCATGCGAGAAGCAGTTTATCTCATTCTTGGCTGGGACGTTGCCTACCGCTGCGGTGAGGCCCCATGAGGGGCTGTTGCTTTTTGCTGCTGCAGCAGCTGCTGCAGCTGCTGCTTTTACTGCTGCTGCAGCTGCTGCTTTTGATGCTGCTGCAGTTGCTGCTGCAGCTGCAGCTGGCAGACCTTGCTGCCGCTGCAGCTGCTCCACTGTGCCTGCTTCTGAATCTGGCCAACTGGTGCTGCTTGTGCTGCTGTTGCTGCTGCTGCTGCTGCTGTGTTTTAGGGGGGCCTGAAGGAGAGGAGACAATCATTTTGCAGTGTCTGTACGCCACGCATGACGGCGTCTTGGTGTTCTCTCGGCAGCAGCAGCAGCAGCAGCAGAAAAAGCTTGAGCCCAATTATGAGCAGCCACAGCAGCTGCAGAAGCAGCAAGAAGAGCAGCAAGAAGGAGATAAACGCGCTGGAGAGGCAGCAGAGAATGCTGAGGCCGAGACTGCTGCTGCTGCGCCCACAGCCAGCGATGCAGCAGCAGCAGCAGCAGCAGCAGATGGTGTTGCTGCTGCTCCTGTAGCAGGTGAATGCGCCTCGAGCAGGTCAGAGCCGACCCCAGGACACACTGCTGCGCCTCGGGAGCACTCAGACCAGCAGCAGCAGCTGCAGCAGCAGCACGACTCGCAGCAAGAGCAGCAGAAGCCACAGCACCAGCAGCAGCAGCAGCAGACGCCGCAGCAGCAGCAGCAAGATGAGGCGCTCCAGCGCTTCGCCAAGTCTCGCTATCGAGTTTCATTTCTGAATTTTTACGGGGATCTGCTCCAAAGAGACCCTCAACTTGTAAGCAGTAGCAGCTGCAGCAGAAGCAGCAGCAGCAGAAGCAGCAGCAGCAGCAGCAGGGATAGATGGAGTAATACTTTGGTCTTGCAGCAGCTGCTGATGTTGTTGCTGTTGTTGCTGCTGCTGTTCTCGTTGTGCAGCTGCACTGTTTTAACGTCTCACAGCGTGTGCAGCTTGTGGTAGTGCTGCTGCTGTTGCTGCCGTTGCTGCTGCCGCTGCTGCTTCTGCTGCTGCTGCTGTGGCGCGGCGTTGCTGTCGTTGCTGGTGCTCGTTTCTTTTCCTTTCTGTGTGCCCCCTCTGTCTACTAATTTTCAGGCCCGTCCGCTGCCTCTGCTGCTGCCGCTGCTGCTGCTTTCTGTGCTGCTGCCGCTGCTGCTGCTGCTGCTGCTGCTGCAGAGTGGACGGGCGCTGTCGCAGCCGTGGCCCGCTTTTGCTGCTTCGCTTTGCCTCGACGAGCTGCGGCGTTTAACAGTTTCTTTCGAAGGCAAAACGCCCCGCAACATCCACGGAATGCTGCTGCCCATGCCTTGAGGCTTTGCTGCTCTGCTGCTGCAGCAGCAGCAGCTGCTGCTGCTGCTGCTGGTGCTACTGCTGCAGCAGCAGCAGCAGCTGCAGCAGGAGGGCGGCAGAGCATGGAAGTCCGGAGGGACCGTTTGCTGCTGCAACGGCAGCTGCAGCTTCTGCTGGGCCCGCAGCGGCAGCTGCAGCAGCAGCGCAGCGGCAGCAGCAGCAGCACCGGCAGCAGCAGCAGGGCCAGGCGCTGCAGCATTTCCTGCTTAACTACTTGGCTTTGCTGCTCTCCCTTCTTGTGCGTCGCTGCTGCTCACGTTGCTGCTGCTCTCCCAAGAGCAGCGGCGGCGAGCTTGCTGCTGGCCGCTGCCGCTGCTGCTGCTGCTGCTGCTGCTGGCAAGCAGGCCCTCGCTGTGGCTTCTTCTACTTGCTCCGCCTTACGGTTTAGGGTTTAGGGTTTAGGGTTTAGGGTTTTGAAAGTGAGACTGGCC